CTTTACATTAACTATTACAGGTTTTTGGTCATTGTGAAGTTACTTTCTACCATATCGCAACTGTTGTCCACTGGCAATATAGGGTTTGGTTTAGGATATAAGTTGTATGTTAAGTAAGCAAATCAGTAATTGTTTCCACACACTTGATGTCACTGTCCTTTATAGAAGTTCCAGCCCACTTAGGATGACAAAGGTGCCGCTGTTCTGAACTTCAGCATGCAATGTGCCACTATTTTACTTATTTCGCAAGGAGCAAACTGAAACTGAATTGCATATCCTGTTTATGCCATATACTGAAATTTGTGACATCCGCCTAACACGACTTCTCCCTTTTTCAGCACGGAAGTCCGATGGCGATTTGCCTTATTGGATGTGCTTCCCTGGATTGTCAGCACTATATATTATTAGCTTACAGTTGGTTTTGTATTTCAGCATCGCTTCGAGCAAGATTTGGTGCTACTGATTGTCGTTTATCAGTTCTATTGAACTCTGCGTGCTGTCTATAATTATCACAACATAAGCTGAACATGGATATGGATACTCCTGCTTCCAAAGCCTTTTGTGTCTGGGGGTTTCCTACAAAGTACAACAGCGTTATGTGGATTAATTTATTAAATGTGTATTCCAGCATTTGTTAGTTGTATTACCTTTTCCTCAATTCTATATGACGAGTAATTAATTACCAGGATTTTATCACAATCCTAAAAAAGTTTAGCTTCCATATCAGGAGTTTTCCATTATTCTATATAGCCTGTTTCTATCACAAAATGTGGACAATATCAGGCGCCATAAGTTTGTTGTAGTCCTCAAATTGGTATGTTACGATGATTTGTATTTCTTTGTATTAGTATTATCTTCCAGTCATCACTTCCTCTATGGAATTTGCCAAAGTTCATCTTTCACTTTCCATTGTGTGCTAATGATATTACAAGGCTATGTTGTTTCCACTTACCAGTATCCCCAGTTGTGTGTATAATTTCTCACCATTGTAATGCTCTGTAGGATTTGGTATAGTGTCATAATTCTGAAACCATCACAAGTGACCGAACACTTTATTTCCATAATTTGGATGTCGTGGTCCATAGTATCGATGGATACCCGTGAAATTCAAGTTGGGGAGTCATCAATTGCCCAACCCACTGTCAATGACCTGCAAACCGGTTTGCCATGTGAGTTTCAATACCAAACTTTGGCATTTTATTCAAACCACGGTTTCTTATAAATGGGGATTCACAAATGGGGATTCGCATACGGTTTCGTGTCATTAAATCGTTTGCAAAAGATGATGTATTAGCCAGTAGGAAAGATAGTTTGGTCTTTACAACTAATTATTTATTTTATATAGAAAATGTTAATATCAAGATTTGAACCTAAATCTCTTTAAACAAAGAGAACAATCACAACAAATTATACTAAACAAATTTGTTATATCTTTTTTAATACAAAACATACACGAAGTTGAACTCTGAGAATATGAGGACTTTTCCATCATGATTAGAAAGCCCACTAAGTCTACCGTGTGTAGTTTTCAATTTAAATATAATTTTTGTGCCTTTTTTATCTTTGTTCTTATATCTTTCTAACTTCCTCCAAAATTCCCTACATCGTGGAATAGTTTGCGCCCCTTTCACTTTCCAGTATAAGGTCATCTTCGAAAATCAATCTTATGGTTTGTCTTGGCACTAAGATTTTATTGTTGGGAATTTAAGCTGGGCAAGTAGAAGATGCCAACTTCTATATCAATGTGAATAGAATCGAGTTCAATAAATGAAGTTGCAGAAGGATGATTAGAAATTGAATTTTTTGTTGAAACATATGCCTCTTGAAATTGACGATAGAGTGGATAAAAATTTGGTTGTACGACAAAGAGTGGTGGTGGCTATTAGATCTTTAGGTTTGTGGTTTTTGCAGCCATCACAACCTATCTCTATTTTAAAACGAGGAATCATTGATTGATTGATTTACTGAAGCAACTCGATTCAACCTACTCGAACCGGTAGATAAGGAGTGTCTAATTTTGTGCCTTATTACTTTTTGATTAGTGACATATTTTTCATAAAATGAGAGCATTTTTTTAAGATTATCTTTTTTCAATTTTTTTTTTGTGAGGTTGATTTCTATGGGTCGTGTGAGCTTTTAAGCTCTATCTTTCTCTACAATCAACTAACCAATAGCATTCTAACGGGGCTTTATTATTACTATGAAAATGAGATATCAATGATACATTTTAACATATGCCTCTTGAAATTGACGATAGAGTGGATAAAAATTTGGTTGTACGACAAAGAGTGGTGGCTATTGGCTATTAGATGCTCGATTCAACCTACTAGAACTGATAGAAGGAGTGTCTAATTTTGTGTCTTATTACTTTTTGATTAGTGACATTGTTCCAAAAATGAGAGCATTTTTTTAATCAATATACGATTATCTTTTGCCAAAAAATGTTTTCATTTATGTAGCATTGTGAGGTTGATTTCTATGTGTCGTCTGAGCTTTTATGCTATATCTTTCTCTACAATCAACTAACCAATAGCATTTTAACGGGGCTTTATTATCACTATGAAATGAGATATCAATGATACATTTTCATATTTCACATTCTTAAATGATTGTGATGTTTCTCCGAATGTTCGACCTATATATTCTTTCTTTATGTATCATTTCGATCGAAGGATTGATAGACTTAAACGTAACATAAAAATATAAATATGAAAATTCCGGCCAACAGGCCGGGTTATAAGCTAGTTAAAGAGGGTGCATTTACATTACATGTGTAACATAATCCAACTCTAGAGCCTTTAACTAATTACAATAGCATATAACTAATTACAGGGCAACAGAGCTAAGAAGTACAGTATTACAGGGCACCAAGAAACATGATCTCATGAAATGTATCACAACTTTTTGGAAGGACAAATTCTATACTGAGCTGGCCATAGCAAGGAATAAATTTTCAGACTTCTGAGGTGAGGGAGGAGGTGGGGATATTGTAAAAGAGGAGAGTACCTAAGCTAATTCTTAAGGCCGTTTGTAATCGGTTGGAAACTGCTTATTGGGATTAAGGGAAATGCATGAACAGGCTTCCCTATGACTAGGAACGTGTAGTACTTTGTTGAATTATGATTAGTTAGTTCTTTGCAGAAAGATAGCAACAACCTTTTTATTGAAATGTAATAGCATTATTGCATTGATAACTAGCACTTGTTCACACACAGGATGGTAATGTTTATTACATTTTTTTGACACTACTACTCACACAATCCATGATATGATAATTGATTCAAGGTAACATCGGTTGGAAGGATGAATATCAGAATTTTTTTCATTGTCATCGATTACTCTTGACAAAATAGGTTGAAATGAGCATATGAACAACCACAAGAATACATACATGGGCACTCTATTGACAATGAACCTCTCTATTGACAATACAACTAATTGAACTCTATCGAAAATGAACCTAATAACTATTGCGTATCTCCTTTCTTTTCCCTTCTCATAAGCTTACGAAAGGGAATATCAAGCATCCCATAGAACAGGGCATTACTACAAATGGGGGAGAATAAGATAAAGATACACAAGATCAAGAGCTACCTAATTATACACCAACTCGTTGCCATAACACCAACGTCAATTATATCCTACAATGGCACCTAGGATGCCACACCTACAGATGTCTTCTACTGGTAACAGGTGACTTTGATTGCCTGAGGGGTTATTAGAATAGAAGTGTCTCCAGTTATTGGCTTGAGACTCGCTGCATTCTCCAGGCATTGCCACATTTCTTTCCCCCTCTGGGTTGCAGTATTCAGCTGTTCTTCTTCACCCTTGACCTGGGCAAGGCATGACAGGAAGAGTTGTTCATCCATCTCCGAGAACATTTTTATGATGTTGAGAGTTAACATATATGATTGAAGTATCAAATAGCTAACATAAATTGGTAAGGACTCTGTTGTCCTATTGAAGAGAAGTATAAGGTTTTACTAAGTGTAGACCAAAGAAATACCCTACGTCGTTATGCACCTCCGATCAACGACCTTCGGATTCAGATTTTGACGCGTCAAGAGGTAGGGCGCAGAAGAGGGAGACGATGAAGAGGATCGTGTGAATCCGGTGGGATAGGAGCAGTTTGACGGAGACGGAGGGGCTATCAGATAGTGTGTAAAGGAGATTGGATGGGCAATGGAGATGTTCGCCGGAACTTTTGGTTGCTCCGACAAAGAAGAAGGGCGAGGAAGAGGACGAGATTGTCTCTGGTTTCGTTTTTTTGTTCCTGGAAAATAATAATAAAGTTAAATATTCATGGTCAGCGGTCAGAGTTGCATATGTTTGGGCTGGGTGACCGATTTGGATTTGGACCACTTAAGAATTTCTCGGTTTTGAGACCAAGCCACATAAGCATCTACGTGGCCCAATTAAAAGAGGCGGCACCGGTGCCGCACTTTTAACCGCGGCATCATAGTATTAGCCTCCTTTTTTATGACGTCGGCCTGACGATTATAAATCTTCTTTACAATTTTATTAATTTAATGTATATATATAGTTAAGTTATACTTATACATAAACGCATGAAAAATGACGACAAAAATAATCCCAGCTCCCAGTAACTAGCAGCGGTGGCGCACTGTGCACCTTTTAAATTTTCTTTACATCACAACTGGATTATTTATACACAACATTTCTTCACTTACAATAAATAAACAAAATAATTATCACCAACAACAATAATCATCTATTTCTGCTTTTAAAAATCACTCTTGGTTTGTCATTTTTGACAAACACCACGAACAATATATTCCAATAAACAGCCTGGCAATCTGAATATTGTTCATAATAATTTCCCCTTTCCCAGTCCACAGTTTCACGCCGAGAGTGAGATTTGGGCCAACAATCACCTACAAAGAAAAACATCAGCCCAGAATTTAGGCTGGGCCGGGCCGGGCCGGCGAAGTGATCCAACATCCTCCCATCTTCTTCTTCCAATCAAGGAGTTTTAACTTTTAAGTTTCGAGAAAGCCAGTCATCCGAAGAATGGAGTTCCTGACCTGGCTCAAATCCCTCCCCTTCAACGTCCGCCCGTTCCCCGTGCACACCGAGAACGCCATTTTTCCGGCCACCCTCCGAGCCAGGATAACGTGTGGCGGGATAATCGATCCTTCCTCCTCCTCCTCCTCGTCCTCCTCGTATTCATCGGAATCTCCGAACCGGAACACGTTCGTCGGAATGTCTACCGGCACCGACGGAGCAGCAGCAGCACGAGTACTACTATCACCGCCGCCGCCCGATTTCTTCTGCTTCTTGTTGTTCCTCGACCGCTGCCGCCGATGACGATGATTATGATGGTGATTGTGGTGCAGATCTGCGACTTCCCGGTGGTCGCCGGAGAAGAACACGTCGGACTCCTGGAACTCTTCTGCCGCCATGGAAATGAGAATAGAGAGAATTAGAGGAAGAAGAAGAAGAAGAAGAAGCAGCTGAAATGGAAGGAAGGGGAGGGGATTGGTATATATAGAGGAAGAAGGAGATTGGGGAATTTTTGGGGATTGATGAGAAGAAGAGAGCGAAATGCGTAGGGAGTACTCTTTTGTTATGTTGTATAGATGTCGTCACACTAAAGGCGCTTCTGGAGGAGTGTGGGCCCCGCGCTAGTTTTTTTTCAAACATGAGATTTCCCAATCTTCTTCCGAAATTTTTTTTTTTAATTAGATTTCATGACCTTAACTAACTATATGGACTATAGTTATCGAAAATTCCTACACTCTTTTCGTTACGATAGAATAGGAAATCTCACAGAGAATGTTTGTTACAGGATGGAGTTTTATCAGTTAACCAAAGAGCAATGAAATATATGCAGGAGTTTCCCCCTTTCGTAAAATTTCGTTTAATACTCGTGTAATATCATTATGCATTTTGAATTTCTGTTTTTTTTTTAATTTCATTCTCGTATTATTATAGATTCGTCTTATTTTTATGATTATACGGTACCCAGGGTGAAATCCGGGGTACCGCATACCTTGAGTAAGAAAACGCTATCCAGAACTTTGAATTGACTGATCTTTCGGACATGATACTATACTCTAACCCTTCAAGATCAAAATATAGGTCTTAATTTTCTAAATCTTATACCCCAAGATCAATTTAATTAGAAACAATGGGGGCCCGGGCGTACACTAGCCTGAACCATATATATATAACATGTTTAATATCTAATGCAATTATCTCATATTAAACATGTTATACGTATAAAAGCATTACTTTAATTTATATCATATGTCGATGACTCGTTTATCACTGGCATCAGGTATAAAGTGGTCTAATATTCATACTTGATAATCATTTTTCAACAATTCAAGTTATCAAAACTTAATAGTTTTCTGGACGCAGAGATGGAGGAGGAGGTTTTTGGATTACGATGATGGTTTTGGGATGAAGTGCATAGGAAGTCATCAAAAAAGCAAGCTCAAATGATTGAATGGCGAAACCGGGTTACCCAAAGGGGAAAGAAAGGGCGGAAAACCCTAGGGTTGGATTAACAGGGGGAGTTTTCCCTTGGATGAAAGTTTTGGTGTGGTGATGGTGTGAAGTAACAATAAGTCGGCTGCCTAAAACAGAGGCTAACTATAGCTTTACCGTAGCTTAGGTTAGCTCTTCTTTCCTCCCCCATAATTACTTGAGTGTCACGGCTTCTTGTTGTTTAGTTACACGGGTGGCTTAGCTTGTTGCTTCTCGTCAACTCGCTAGTTTAAGCTAATTTGTACATGTGCACCTTGACTTGGCTTATTTTGGCTTTTACCTCTGATATTCTCTTCTCTTCTGGGGAAGTGTTAACTCCAGCTGCATTTTAGTTTACGTAGCCAGTAAATAGGGTTTGGCGGTTCCGTTAACCAAAAACCATTAAGCACTTTGCTAAGTTCGGTCAGAATACACTGAAAACCCGACAACCAACCTTTGATTGCATTAAGCCTTATCGTTTTATTAACAGTTTTCGATTTTTTTAACCGAATTCATTAAGAGTTTATCGGATTTTACCCATTAAGGGAAACCCAATAAGCCAAAAAAACCAATTTGGTTTCTAGTTTCTATCCATTAAGAAAAACCGACAAGTCTATAAATCGGTTCGGGTACGATTTAAACCCAAAAAACCGAATACAAAACTGCCACCCCTACCAATAATTGACGGATCGCTTGAACAGTACGTAAGTGATTCCGAAAACATTGTAGCATGCATCAAGAGTTATGAACAATTCAACCCATTTAATACTGGTTCGAAACGTAATTCTGTAACTGCCGCGTCTGGTTACTCGGATTGCTATGGTATCTGCCCTGCGAGAAAGAGTATATCCGTCACCATAGGGAACGTGGCGTTGACATATGTAATGTATGGCAGTTATGATGAGGTGATTGTATTATACATTGTTTGACTTCTAAGAAAAAGAAAAAAATGTTATAGTAATGGGGGATATTGGATAATGTTTAAATACTGTAGAATTAAATTCGATTGGAGTTGGAATAAGAAGGAAGCCACAGATTAATGAAAGGAAAGAATACGATTGGCCCAAATTGATTGGACGGATATAGGGATGAATGATGGGTTTATTATTATTATAATAAGACAGAGAGAGAAGATGAAGCGTGGGCGCGAAGGTACAAGTGGATGAAGGAAACGGCGTCGACGGCCGCATCCGTCGCCGCATCCTCCGCGCGCACCGCGTTACAGATCGATCGAGCGGTGGCGTAAGGAGTTGGCGTTGCGGCCGCGGTTGCGAGGGAGCGGAGAGGTCAACTTCCGCAATAATTATCATCAAATCCCTGCCTTGCCGCTAAACGGTAATTAATTAAGAAGCGAGAGAGGGAGGATTGGGGAACAAGCAACGAGACAATGTAAAGTTTCTTTTTCAAGTTAATTCAAGAGGGGTGTTTGACATATGCTTAAATGTATTTAAGAGTATTTGCTTGTTAAAGGAAAACGGTATAATAGTCCGGAAATCGAGAGGTCCAGTTTTTGAATTCTCGTGACTTTTGAATATAAAAAGGTTGATTCAAAGCAAGAGTGTATGATTATTGGTCTATACAAAATTCAAAGTCTATTTTCACCTGCAAAAGTTGCGAAACAAAACTCCTCGAAATGCCTCCTCTACAGTGATTCACTCGAAACTACTTATAACTGGTCATCGTTACTCTACATCGCAGTTCGCAGCGCATATCTCTGGTCCTAGGCTATCAATTTTTGTGGCAGTGAAACAATCCAACGAAAAACTCAGACAACTTCCTTCATATCACAACATACCATGTCATCATGAACATCTAGCATTAGGGATGGGCATTGGGTGGGTCGGGTGGATTTTGACCATAAAATGCACCCACCTTTGCTTAAACAGATTGATAATTTTTAACCCACCACCCGCCCACGTTTAGTCTCGGGTTGGGTCGGGTGGATGGTGGATGATGCGGATGGGTTTGTGGGTTCACCCACACCACAATGCAAAATAATCTAAATGAGTCAACTTGACATGATCCATTTATATTTTCAAAAACCCCTGTGTAACGTCTATAGGTAAAATAAAAATCTATTTTAACATCCATTCGCCCTCCAAATTTGAGATTCACTTCTAAGTGTCAAGATAATTGGTGGAGAGTTATCGGGCATAAACAAGAAGATGGAATAGGAAGAAAAAATGTCAAATAAGTTCTAAAATTAGATAGAAATTCTATTCTCGAAAAGTTTTATACAGATGGAGATGATTATCGAATGCAGGAAGCTAAGAAAAATAATTTAACGGAGGAAAGAGAGGTGATTCGGGCACAAGAATCGGAGGAAAACGAAAAGGGAAGAAGAGGGAAGTAGAGTTTTTGAAGATTGACTTTGAGATTCAGTCTCCAGGACTAACCCTAGTTTCCGTCAGCGTCTCCACTCTTCACTCTCTAGCGCCAACGACTTTATTATTTTTATTGTTGGGTTGAGCGGGTCACTCGCGCACCCGCCTACAATTCACCCGCCACCCGACGAATGCCTTCCAGCCCAACCCATCACTCACCCACATAACGAAATTGGGATCAAATGCGGGTGGATCGGCCCAAACCCGCGAGTGAGCCGCCCACCTACCCAGCCCTATCTAGCATAGCATTAGCATATGTAGACTGATCTTACCGTACGCCAGTCTTTTTAGCCAAAAGAGAACAATTAACGCTCCCAACCAAAAAAATTCCAGTACGTAAGGTGGGTTTTATTAAAATTAATAGAATAGAATGTGGAGATTAGATCGAAAATGGACGTTAATCTACATTGTGGAGAAGGAATGTAACTGACACGTGGGTGGTAGTTCAGTCGTTATATATATATTTTTTTTTAATTAATGGCGCCACGGAATCTTGGAGCTATGCGGATTAGGAAGGGTTCTGAGATTCAGGTGCCACGTACCCCACCACCTTCCTTCCTTCGTTTTCGTGCAAGTCATTGTTCCTTACAGCTGCCTGCCTGCCTGCTGTGCTCTGTTAACTTCGACTATTCTTCCATTTCCTTGCTTTGGTTCTTTCCTTATATTATTCGAAGAAGGAAGCAATGACTGGCTAGGAAAACATGCAACAGCACAATTCGTTGGCACACAGTTCAATATATTTGCACGGTGTTTTGCGGAGAAGGAAGCGGAAACAGGTCTTCATATGATCCAACTGATCATGGTTGCGTCAACGCTCCAACTTCCTTAACCCGAGCACATGGTTGTGCACGTACGGCATCATTCCAACACATGATTCAAATAGTGTTATTTTCAGCGGGCATTATCGAGGATTTCATCTAAGATGATGAGTTCATTTAGAGAATAGTTTTTATTATTTTTTTAACCATCCACCCATGATATAATCTCATATTTTGCAAAACCGCTTAGTATGAGTAACTCAAGTCGTCAGGAGAGGTTCGATAACGATAACCAATCTCATTACCGTTTACTAACATGCCCCTCTCAAAATAAAAATTCAATTTATAAGAGTTTGAATTGTTTGCACAATTCTAAATATATACCGTATATTTAACAAATGTGGTCGCCAAGATTCAAACACAAGACCACATGGTTAACCGTACCATTCTCAATTGGTACACCATTTACTTTATCAAAATATCTATATTATGGTGTCACGATTATGATTTGGAGTGTCATAAACCAACCCGTCTCAATAATTCTAGTTATACCATTTACTAACACGCTATCCGAAAAGAAAGTCATTCTCAATTAGATATATAAAACGCTGCTGATCTTGCATGCAAATATATATATGACCAACCTTCTGTCGTAATTGGTAGGTTAAATTAGGCAAAATTAACGTCCAAATTATGATTCAATACGTCAAGGCTTGCTCCGCATAATTACAAACAACTGGTGGTCCAAAGCCCATTTGCGTTTGGGATTGGGATTGTTGGCATTCGGGC